AGCCTCTGCCCTGCACACAGGCTGCCACAGAAGCAGCAGTCCCTGGAGGGAGGCAAGTCTCACCTTCTCCCCACCAGGTGATGGGCTTGGGGTCACAGCGAGGGAGGGGACGTGGCTGGGGTCTCTATGCTGGGAGAGTCTCTCGGGGAGCAGTGCCACTGATGGGTGCCACAGTGGCACACATACAAACAGGTGCACATTACCTCAATATTGGTGCACAAGACAAAACTCACTCTGCTCACAGATGGAAAATCTTAGTGGGAACATTGGTCCCAGATACAAGCTCTTATTAACATGCCATTAATTCACATATGAGCTACGAGAAGGTACACTGGGAAAAAAGTAAAAAGGGGAGTTAAGATTTGTATGGGTGACTAATTTTGAACTCAGATAATATTTGTAGCTTTTTTAAAGACCATTACTATGTACTCACTGGGTTTCTGCTCTTACATAAATTATAGACATCAGTCACTTTTAACTCTGGCTGAAACTTTCTTATTCAGGGGCAATGAAGTGGCAGGGTAGACCTATCCTAAGATAGCTTTCTTAAGCATACCCCTATATCTCATCTTATAAGCACTACAGCCATAACCTGGGCACATTCCTCTGATGGTTTAAAATGATACGGTCACAATTTAATTATCTTCCTTATTACAAAGTTAATAAAAGCAAATAGCAAAAGGTATTCCTTACCTCTCCACACTGTGATTCGTGTATTCGAGTAAGTCTTAGATCACCATGTTCCCAGTTTGCATTTACACTATATATTCTCAACTGGGAAAGTTCAAATGAAGCATTAAAAGCTTTCGCTCCAATCCGGATTATAATGGAGTTTACAGAAACAGAAATTCCTTCCACCACTTTTTCAGCAAACCCATATTCACTGGAAAGTGAAATGCCAATATTTAAATTAGAGATCTAATGTTAGTGCACAAAGTGATATTTATTAAGCAATAAGACACGAAACATATCATACAATATAAAATCTCTAGTGCATCCCATCCCATTTGTAAATTTGCATTAGATATATGTAACTCTGAAAAATGTATAAGAAATATAGTACAGGTTAGACCTCTATAATCTGGACCCCCCTGTCTGGCAATATCTGTGGTCCAGCACTGGTGGGTGCTTTGGGGCTGGACCATTCATAGGGAAAACTTGGGAGCCCCATGCTCAGCAAATCCTCGCCTGCCCTCCCAGAGCTTCTGAGGGGCCACAAATAGCCCATTTGCAGCATTCAAGATGAGGGCACTTGAGGGAAGAAGCAAAACAGATACAGAGCTCCATGACTGAGGGTGAGGAGGGCAGCCCAGTGAGGGCCGGGAACATAGTCCTGCAGCTGGGATCCCATGGTTGGCAGCCGGGGGCTAGGAATGCAGCTTGGAGGCTGTGAGGCTCCACAATCTGCCTCTTCCCCCAAACACACCCCCTTATCCCTGCTTTGTCCATCACTTGAGGGAAGAAGCAAAACAGATACAGAGCTCCATGACTGAGGGTGAGGAGGGCAGCCCAGTGAGGGCCGGGAACATAGTCCTGCAGCTGGGATCCCATGGTTGGCAGCCGGGGGCTAGGAATGCAGCTTGGAGGCTGTGAGGCTCCACAATCTGCCTCTTCCCCCAAACACACCCCCTTATCCCTGCTTTGTCCATGCTTGCCCCTCTGTTACTGCCGAAATGGAGCGCTGCAGCCAGAGACAGCAGAGGGGCAGCACCGACTTTCTCTGGTCCAGCAAATTTCCTATATCAATCTGGTGGCAGGATTGGAACAGATATCAAGTGTAAAACATGCAACTTTCCATTTTAAATGTTACAGCATTATTCACTGACCTTGTATCTACTTATGTATATTTAAGAGATATCAAGTGTAAAACATGCAACTTTCCATTTTAAATGTTACTGCATTATTCACTCTTCTTGTATCTACTTATGTATATTTAAAGAAATATTAATGTAAAATGAATTAAACTATTCCACCATTTCAGCATATTAGATAATATTTATCTATACAATAAAGCTTAAATTAATGTAAAATGAATTAAACTATTCCACCATTCCAGCATATTAGATAATATTTATCTACAATAAAGCTTACAGCTATAATAACTTCGGGGGTACCGAAGAGATGGAGATGCTTAAACCAGGGCCTCCCTAGTAAGAAAACAGTCATGCAGGACTACAGGCAAAGCACAAATAGAAGCTGACACCAATTTCAAAACCCACAAAATTAGTCACAAACACCATTATACTTGTTAGATAGGAGGACCCTGGCCCTGTGAGGAGGAAATGTCAGAGCTAAAGGATCTATGCCTTAAGCTTGCAGGACTGCATTCTGTGCCTGCAGACCCAAGTTGCTGCCCTCCGTCTATAGGGCTCCCACTATCTCCATCACAGAGATATGGGTCTTTGAAGAATCCACACACACTTAATCAGTTCAAGTTCTCTTATTGTCTTTGTTGGGGCTGCTCAAAATATCAGTGATCAGGACATAGAGGTCATGCCTAGTGGTTAGCATAGGCATTAATAGCCAGGAATCAGAATCCAGGGTCAGGACTCTGGAGTCAGGATCAGAAGCAGAGTCAAAGCTGAAGCTGAGGTCAGGATTACAGCCAAAGATCAGTACTAGATCACCTGGAATGAGGCACGCCTGGATCCAAGGCAGGAGCAGGAGATCCCCCAGCCATGGGCAAAGGCTTTGAGCAGCTGCTGAGTTGCTGCTGCTGTTGGGCTTAAAAGCCATACTGATGACTCTTCCAACCATTCAGGTGTTACAGCCACTTAGGCAGCCTACTATAGCCCATCTATAGATTGTCCAAAGACTATACTGTAGTATAGACTCTGCTTGCAGACTGATTCTGCTACAGATACTGATTCTTGACAATGATATTCTATTTACTGAGCAGATGGGAAGCACATAGGATATGTCCCAAAAGATGTGTTTCCCCTTTTGAAGTCCCATGAAGTTGCTAAGTTAAAATCTGTGGATCTCACATTTTCATATATGAAGGACTTTTTCATCTTTCCCAGCTTATTCCTAATTATGACATTTTATAGCTTGTGGGATAAATGAGGTCAGTGTAGATGATCATAATGGAACCTTCTGGCCTTAAAATCTATGGATCTGTATGAGTAATTGCACCTATGTTGTATTAAATTAATATTCTGTTGCTTTCAAAATGTAGGTCTCTTTTCCTGTCGGCTGCAACATTTCTGTCATAGATGTTGAACAGTCACAATTAAGTTCCGGCCTGTCCACTATTAGCCAGTCCTCCTTTTATGAATGGACTGAATCTTCAATGTCAAAATCAAGTAGGCTGTGTTCACAGAAAATTATTCAAATGTCTCTTTATTTCAGTGGTCACCAACCAGTAGATCGGGATCTACCAGTAGATATTGGCACCTTTGACAGGTAATCCTGTCTAGTTTGGCCAGGAAGCTGTCAAGTGCTGGGACTTCAGTTGCCCCTCCTCCCACTGTCATACAGCTCCTGCCCTCTGCCTTGGAGCTGCCCCCTGGGAGCCTCCTGCTTGTTATGTAGGGTGTGGGAGGGAGAAGGGGGAGGCGCTGATGTCAGGGTATCCCTCCTTCCCCAACTTCTGTACCCTATCTCCACACAGGGAGAATGGGATGGAGAGTGCTTGGCAATGCAACTCTCTGTCACTCTCACCCTCTGTGTATCTCAGTCATTCTCGCAAATACACACTGTCCTTCACTCATCTCCTGACCCAATACATATGTGGGGGATGTTACTTCATTTACTGCTTGCAAAGTGTGTTATTTTTGCTTTCTGACTGGTTTGTGAATTTCATAATTTTCATTTCTCTCTTATGCTTAAATGTTTTCTAATAATGAGTTCTAACATGCCTAACCTGTCATGGCTGGAATCATCCCTATTATAATTGCTGCTCCTGGAAGTGGCTTAGTTCAAGACCAGAGCTTGCACCCCAACCCCCTACCCCAGCCTGGTAAAAGTGAGTGAGGCTAGGAGAGGAAGGGGAATGGAGTGAGCAGGGTGAGGCCTTGGATAAGGGGTAGAGCAGGGGCAGTGCCTCAAGGAAGTGGGGTAAGGCTATTTGGGTTTGAGGTAGATCTTACATTGCACTGAAATTGAAAAAGTGATCTTGTGGTTAAAAAGGTTAGAGACCACTGCTTTATTTGAACATACTATCATGATCTAATTAGTTATATTTCTTAATTGATTTTCTAACACTTTCAACTTGTTGACCCTTTTCATATCATGTAGGGCAGTCAGAACATTTTCATATTAGACCCAGTACTAATCCCTTGTGTAGTTAAGACACTTCTGCTTAATATACTTGCCTATGCAGTTTAATAACCACAAACATTCTACTGTCTAATGGTACTATATTAACGTGAAGACTATAAAGAAATAATTCCATGTGCTCCACTAGAGTCTCCTCTTTCAGGCAGCTTTAGAAAATATGAGATTACAAGATTGGGACTCCCTGTTGCACTGATATTTCAGTCAGATTGGGTTATATGTCAAATCTCTTAGGACAGATTCACCTGATATATTCACTGAAGAAAAGAGAACTATGAACATTCATACAAGCTGAGAATCTGGATGCTATCTGTTGGACAAAAGTTAATATTTTGAGCGCAGCATATTTTTTCTCCATACAATTCAAGTTATTTTTCCTTGAACCTATCCAAAGTATGTTGTTCTTATGGTGCTTGAGCTTTATTCCTCCACCCTCAGATGTATTAAACAATCTTATGAATTAGAACATGCAATATATACTTAGGATAAATTTTCAAGCTTGGATGCCTAACATTATTCACCTAAATCTGAGCAACCAGACTCTGACCCTGTATTTTTAAAGGCTATCATATTTTACCTTTAAATTAGTGGAGCTAACCTGCTTCTGGATGCACATAAATACTCCAACCTTCTCTGCTTCATGAAAACTGATCTGATAATTTTAACTGTTTTGTATCAAGTGCTTGTCAAATATTTTAAAACTACAACTGACCTCTGTCCTGATGCAGTTGCTATAGGTGATGGCCCATTAGGGGGACGTGGTTCTTCACAAGTACTCATTTCCATTATTACCTTATCCAGGGACTTGAAAAATAAACAAAGTAATGTGGTTATAAATTGTAATCTACCACAGTAGATTAAAAGATCATTTAGATAATGTTCTTACTATTCTTAATTATGAAGTAAGTAAAAAATCTTTTCATAAACATTCTGTAGCCATAGCATTTTATTAGAAAATCTTTAGTAGAATATATTACCATGTATGTGTCTAGACTTTTGTTTATACAGTGCTTCTATCAGATACCATATTCTTCCATCTCTGCTAGACTTTCATGGTCATATATAAATTTTGTCTACATCTTGGCTCCTAGTCAATGAAATATGTTTTTCATCACACTGCAGTACATTTCTCAAAGGCTAAATTCTGAATGGGTATATGATGAGGAAGACATCTGATTTTCTCTACACAGTCTATCAGTGTAAAGGCTACATAATATTAGCTTTTATGTCCTTTGACTATTATCTATAGTAGGTTTTTCAGTTCAGACTTTTTAATTACAAAGTGTTTGAAACTGGTCTATTGTTGACATGTGCTTCTATCAGATACCATATTCTTCCATCTCTGCTAGACTTTCATGGTCATATATAAATTTTGTCTACATCTTGGCTCCTAGTCAATGAAATATGTTTTTCATCACACTGCAGTACATTTCTCAAAGGCTAAATTCTGAATGGGTATATGATGAGGAAGACATTTGATTTTCTCTACACAGTCTATCAGTGTAAAGGCTACATAATATTAGCTTTTATGTCCTTTGACTATTCTCTATAGTGGGTTTTTCTGTTCAGACTTTTTAATTACAAAGTGTTCGAAACTGGTCTATTGTTGACACTTATCAGTGACAGCAAAACTTTTTGTAGATATCTTCCAAACATTTTGTATCTAGAACAAAATTGGTAAAGGTGGATATTCAACAGATTTGCTATAATGGGTAGTTTTTGAGAAAAAAATATTTAAGAGTAAAACATCTTTGCCATTTTTTTCATTATTGAGGCTGCACTTTTCAAAAGGGTCCAAAAGGAATGAAGCACTCAAATCCCATTGATATTGAAGAATATAATTAAATAACACATCTGCACCTTGACAAATAATTTAACAAGTGACAAAAAGGAAAATAACAATGTATTATTCCCAAGAAGAGACAATCTAAATGTAGAAGCAGACCCTTTGCCTGCTGATCTTAAACACAGTCATGGTTAAAATTCATAATGGCTAAGGAGAATCCCTATTTCTAAAACTCAGCTCCAGCAACCTGTTTCCCTCTGTTCTGTGCTACGGCAACATTGTCTCCTTTCAAGTCCATTGAAAACTTTCTTGCTAATATTATCTTCTTGGCCCATCGTTCTGACATTACCACACCCATTATGAGTCTCTCCACTTGCTCACCATGTCCCCCACAAATATAAATATCTTACCCTTATCCTTCAGGTTCCTTCACAGTTTTGTCTTGTTGTACCTATTGGTTCAATTATCTCAATCAGCCATTGCCTTCACACTTCTTACAATGCTAGCTTCTATCTCCTACATGTCCAGTTCTCCCACAAACACACCTTTGCATTTTTCTTCTGTGCTGCCCATTATACATAAAATGCACTGTCTCCTCCCCAAAAACTCATAACCGGATTCATCCTTAGGACTCATTCTACTGTGTTAGTGCAATAGTGCCCCTCCAGGCCAAGTAAGGCATAGACCCAGCTCACATAGCTCAGTGGGGCTGTCAGTCTATTCTGGCTATTCCAGAATTTGAAAAATGCTCATCAATGGGTCAGTAGGAGAACCAAAGCCAATCCACTCCATTGGGTTTCAGCTCAGGGACCTCAAACCAGACAAGCAGGATCAGTGCTCACAGACTCTACTAGGGTCCTGAACTCCTTCCTACCTTCCTCTGGGTCTCTGTTCATGTCTTATTGTGATGATGTCACTGGGCAATCTTAACTGTTTGTTGTCAGGAGTTCCTTTCTCCAGTCTGCTTGCTACTCTGAGCAGCCCTGCCCTTCTGCTTCCCAGCCTTTTATAGCTTTCCAGTTGCTGTGAGGCTGCCAATCAGCACTGGCCGGCAATAACTGTGTTCACCCTTTGGGGTACAGCCACCACATGATGGGTGTTATTTGTAATGTCATGTAAAAAAGCTAAAAACGACTGAAAACTTAAAAACTGGATTGTAAGACCACATAATTTATGATTGGATAGATACCAAAGAAAGAGTTCTTAACCATGCTTCTAGCTGTTTCCATCACTTCATACTGACTCAACAAACATTCTAAACTTTAGAGTAACATCTCTCATATTGTTCATGCCAAGTCTGTTATTCTGTAGGTAGCTGTGTTTATTTGTGTATGAGTTGTGTTTTGTTGGGAGAGGCTGAGAACTAAAAAAAAAATGGGACAGAAAAAGAGCGCAAAACCTAGTGATGATTCAACCTGGTGTTATGCCAAACAAAAGTATGACTGCAGCTGTTTCCATCACTTCATAATCACTCAGTCAGTCAGTTTAGGCTTCAGAGGACTCACTGAAGGTAATTCCTGGAAACTTACTTTATATAGATCTACTTTTTGGTTGATTTCAGAACTTACCAGACATATTGGATGAGTTTTCAATTTTGTCCATGGTATCTGAAAAATAAAATATTATGCTAAAGCAAATCAAACAAACATCAAAGCAAATATGTAGTAATCAAGATTAGGGATGTAAGCAACTAGTCAACTATCAGATAAACAAATGCTTATCGAATACTCAACTACTGACTCGACTAGTTGCTCCCCCTCCACTTTGCTGCCTCTATCAGAGAAAGGCAGCAGGGTGGGGGAGCAGGATCCGGTGCTGGGGGAGCCGGCTTAAAAGCCATTTCCTCCAGCACCATCTCAATGGGGGGCAGGGCAGGGGGGACCGGGCACGAATGGGGGTGCCCGGCGGCGG